CTAATAGGCCACATGCATTATATGTGGTGACTTGAGCAGGACTTCTAACTGGTACATTACTGCTGAGTCCCAGGCTTTCAGCACAAATCCCAGCTGCTTAAATCTGCGGTGCTAAAGGCCTGGCAGAATTAACACCTGCAGGCTTATCAGGTAAAAGCTGAGCATGACTAAACCTTGCCGATAATGCTGCCTAGGTGTAGAGTGGCCTTTCATTTAGTAATTAATTTATTTATTTGTATTTTTAATTCATTTCTGGTTGGAGGGAATGTGGAAGGGCCTTTCAAATTAATAAACAGTACTTAGTTTACACTGGAATGCGTCTAACAATAGGTTAACTTTGATGAGAATTTGGTCCTGTGTGTGTGAATTCGGTCCTGTGTGTGTGAATTTTGTCTTATGCGTGTGAATTTGGTCCTATGTGTGTGAATTTGGTCCTATGTGTGTGAATTTGGTCCCATGTGTGTGAATTTGAACATGCTTAATCAATGCCTTGTTTTTTTTTTTTTTATCCCACGTCCTTTTGAGATCCTCATAGCTTAGAGAGAGATTTGTAAATAAACATTTCAGCCTTGATCTTAGTGCACTGCTGGAGCCTTATCACGAGGCTGGATTTTTGGGTCAGCAAGACAACCTCTGGATTAAAGTTAGTCCAGGTTAAATGTAAGCGAGCACAATATAGTCTGTTTAAATAGGGGTACCTTAAATCTGACAAATTATCTACCTAACCAACAAATCTCGCAGCAAGATACAAGTCTTTGCTGTCTCTGGTAGTCTGAGAACATTACTTATGGATAGGATGACCAATGGTGAACAAGCCATCACAAAGATGTTGTGTTACTGCAAAAGTAAACATCAATATCGCCCCAGTTTTATGTACTATTATCCAGTACTCTGCTGCGTATGTATTTAACATATCAGTAAGACTCTTCATCGACAAAATTTCGAAGAAAAGAAATATGTTTTCGTTAAGAAGAAGGTGCCGGATGTTGCCACCAGAGGCCGCTCTTAGTTTTCAGATTCTGCTCTCTTTTCCTGATGGTTCAATTTGCCGTTAATTAGACAATCTAACCTAGTTATTTAGAAAATATGTAACGTAAAGCTATGTGGTCAAAAACACATTGTAACATGAACACTGATTCCATCTGCTGGACAGCAAAATTGAGTAACGGAAATTGATGGCGAATTGCGATCGGAAACGCCAGACCTACCTTACGGAAGGGTCGAAATAAACATTTTTCAGATTTGTTGTCGTGATAGACGATAGTAAACGTTAATATCCGTGATCGGGTATGCTGAATGTGTTTTCATTTTAATTGTGCGTTAATTTCCTTAGCGTAAAAACTTAGCAAAGTTGCATTGATGGTCTGTTTTACAGTTCGTTTCGCTTTTCGGTTAAAAATACCACATACATGTATGTTAACACAATTCATTTTATTTAATACGCATTAAATGTAATTGCTTAGAACACAAAGCCGTATTATAAAAAATAAAGGTCAGTCGGCTTCTTTATTAAAAATCCATTTCAGCAGAGAAAAAAAAACTTCTCCATTCACTCTAAAATAAATAGAAAGACTAAATAGGAACGGCTCAAGAATGGGTTTGCACCAAGCCAGACCTGGGCCCAAACTTGTCCTGTTCTCTGTTGAGTAAGCCGACGTGATTAGTGGCTTGTTATACAGCACTAAACCTTCCTGAGCAATTTCCACAAGAGACTAACCTTTTCATACACTGACAGCAGACAAAAGCGGTATCCAGAAGGTCGCCCACTTTCATTTAATTAGAAAATGTAGTGTTGGAATCCGGCGATTCTTGGTGCACTTCTTACGTAATATAGCAGAGAATGTGCTTGGAAAACTTTAAATTAAGAGTGCTAATCAAGGTCCCAAAATTCTGTGACTGTAATTATCATTTAAATATTTATGCTGCGATTTCCTTCTTTCTGATGAAGCTATAGATTCCGGTCAATTACCAGCGTCTAGGCTGAAAAGAGATGACGTATAGTGCGCTTGTCGCGCGGTCGCCGTACGTCATTCCTGGTCCAGCCTCCCAACGCGGAGCCGCGCAGCATGCAGGTTAACAATCGGCTGGTTCAGTTTACGAAATGTCCCGTGAAAACCTAACATGACAGGCTTTTGGTGCGAGGCGGGGAGCGACGAATGTTCCGGTCCAATGCAGCTTTTGTTGTGGGGAGACGGGATAGTTTACAGTTATGGTAGGGAGCGGGAGGGGGCGCGTCCCGTTCGAGGTGACAGTAAGGAGGCGCCCCTTGAGAGCGCCCCTAATTAATGAGGCGGAGACCGTGACTCTTAAACACTTCTAAGTCCCCCCCTTTTTAGTAGGCGCACTCATTTTATTCATTCCTAAGGGAAAATCCTACATTGTTTAAGATGAATGGACCACTTGAGGACAGGTTTAAGAAGAGGTAAAACCGTATGGGAGAGTGTGTGTGTTGGGTGCGTAGAGGTACTGTGCTTGAAAATGTGGGTAAACACGCACAAAAAAATTCACCCTTAATTGTCAGCAACAGCAACAGGACAATGGCACTTTAAAAACGCTGTTTTCTAATATAATGCCATATTGTTGTAGAGCGGGCAATCGCCATGCGGTCCAAGATTAGCGCGTGCCATCGCCACCTGGCACCTCGGAACGGTTCGGCCTTTTTCGCCAAACAGGACTAAATTTTTTTCTTTCTTTTACAAAGACTATGAAAGTGGCCAATCAATGTAAGGAAATGCTATGAAAACCCGCATTCTGCGCGATGTAGTTGAAATTCTGCGTTTTAAAAGGTCTGCATATTAATATGAAGTATATTAAAAAGGCATTTTTTCTCAATGCGTTGGAATGTGCAAAATGCTATATTTACGCCATGCAAGAAACCGCATTTCATGAATAGTATTTAAACGCATAAACAGCAGTAAGCTACCGTAAGATTAATATTTAAAAGGGGAGTAAGTGGGGGCGAATTGGTGGGTTTGCTACCTAAAAATTACGGTATCTGAATTTATCTCGCCTATAGCAAAACAGGCAGTCGAACAGTTGCCACGCCGCAATCTATCGCGTGATTAATTGAATGTCGACATTAATTGACGATAAAATGAGTGTTTAGTTGATACGATAATATAGCCTCCATCCTTCTCCGACCCCAAACACAATCACTTTAATTCCAAACGCTAAACGGTTTAGTTTCCGTGGTTCAGGCAGTCAGCTTCAACAGCGAACTCTTTCTTTGACTGGGAAGGCGGCGGGGGTGCGGAGGGACTTCTTGGCTGCGTCTTACAAAATAGAGATGGGGGGGTCCCTCCTTTTTGTTAGAACCGAGACTCGAGACCACATCATTAGCACTGATTACTGCTGACCAGTTTGACAACCTTACTGACTGGTAAAAAGACTTTTTCATGTATCCCTGCCGGGCTGCTCCCGTTCTCAATAGAAACGGAAATATTCTGCCATTTTGTCCTCTTGTTGAATGGAACTCAAAGCCCTTTCCCGTGCTCACCAGTTTCCTTATCCTTTTTCTCTAAAACAGTATTTGGCTCTTATATTGTTTCCATTGAAAGGGGTTCTACAAAATACAACGTGTTCCTTTTTTTTCTGGCGACAGTAATTAATAACAAATAGTTCCCAGGTGTGCGCCAGGATTCACGTGAGACATGACCACAAAGCCGCTCCGTTTTTATTTTGCATTTCTCCTGTTCATTTCTTCCGGCTAATAGGCCTGTTGAAAATGTCGTTTGAACTGCGTTTTGTCTACCATTTTCCCATATGAAACAATGAATAATTGATGCATAATGGAGACGTTACTTTTTTGTTGCTTATTCATAACGTTAAACCACGACAAGCTGTGACTTTTTCGGTTACAATCACTAATGTAGCCTATTAGGGTTTTGTTGTTCTACGTCCCGACCTTGCTCCTTCGCTCACGCGAAAAGGGCAGACCTCCATTCAGAGAGCCAGCTTCACGCAGACTATATTGATAACGAGACTAAGCGTCTTGCACCTTATCTTTGGCCGGTATTGTTTGCCGGCCCACTGTTGCTACAATATTATGAAAGAAGAAAACTTAAAAGTACATTTTACATTACAGTGACAAAATGCGATGCTGTGTTGGTTAAAGTTTTTTTTTTTTTTTTTTTTACAGAAAAGTTACTATAATTAGGCTTACTGAGCAACGTTCAAACAACGTTCTCATGCAAAAATTTAAATTGCACATTCGACCGGTTTTACTTAATATTTTAAATTAATCCGATTATATTTCAACGTGAAGTACATTATTGTAAATAACCATGCACGTGCAAGTTTGCTGAAGGGGGAAAAGGTATAGTCTAAAGGCCCGTTACGCGTGTAAAACATGATTTATAAAACGATTGTAAGTTATTTTTACACGGACTAATGATTTGACGATGTATTCAGAAATGGAATAGTCAATCAATCGGATTCAGTAAAGAAAGGTGGAATCCCGTTATAAACGAAGGCCGCGCTCCTGAATCCGATACAGCGTAGGTTTATCGATAGCATTATGGTGTCAAGTGTTGCTATGGCTCCCTGGCCATTTGCTGTCATATTGCGTTAGGGCTATATTAAACTATCAAACGAAAATGTCACACACATATAAACAAATGTATCACATTAGTACGACATTTTTCCTCTTTAATCAAAATATAGCTATGGTAGGCCTATTAATGTAACGGGGAATGAGACTGAGCACATTAAAAATGTAAAATTGTATAAATACAAATTCTGCTCGTTCGTCACATAAATCCAGTTCAAATCTACACACCATATAGTATAAAGAGCATTTTTGTATTCACGACACTAGACATCGTCTGGTCCCTGTAGAAACGCACATTCCATTTCAGCACTCACCATCATTTCGTGTATCACCATTAAAAAAATCACCCTGACATTTTATGATTATGATCAACAAATATTTTATTCATTTAAGTTATTACGTGTTTTTTTTTTCTTTTTTACTTTAACATATGTCCACTGCTTGGCGCACATGCTCTAATGTTCACCTGTGCACAAGGTAAATATTAAAAACATCAAGCAAATTAATACCAAATTCTAACAGCCGATCATTTAAATAAGTAAATAAACATTATTTATAAAACTTTAAAAGTAAAGTAAAAATATCACAGTCTTTTTCAACATGAAATACGCACAAAAAAATATGGGGGCAGGTGCTGAAAACGTTTCCTTTTTTAAATCTATCTTGAGGCGTTAATCATTTTCTTCCAAAAGGGAATTGGGACCATCTTAAATATTGTCCTCTTCGGCTTTTGTTTTTTTGTTTTTTTTTAATCTTGAAATTTTTGTTTCGTCCGTCATCCGTTAAAATAATCAGGAGAAAAAAATATGAGGCATTCCCTCATACTCCTCACGATTTGGTAGCCTTAAAATTCTATACATCTGAAAGCAGGCACTGTTTTTGAAATGTTTTGTTAGATTGTCGGTCTTGATTTCCCCCCCCCCCTCTTCCTGCTCAGTTTTACTACGAAAGCTTCCTTCAGGCGCTGTTAGATGTCACATTCGCTGTCGCTGGAAGTGATGGAGATGGCTGAGGCGGCGGCTTTGCTGGACAGACTAGCTTCGGGGCTGGATGCGGTGCCGAGTCGATCCACTGCGCCGTCGTCCTCTGCTAGAGATCGAACCGAACCTTGGGACAGAACCTGCTGTTGTAGTCTGGGCAAAATACGGGGAAAACAGAGGTCCGTCATCTTCCAGTTATAACGGAACACGAAAAAGGGGTTAAAACTAGGCTATGTAATGGTATTACTCTTATTTAATATAGAAGAAGGCAAACGAATCCTCAGTGCAGACAGGAGCACGAGTGCACTGTTGAAATGGGCAAAAGTGTACCCATCCTATAGAAAGTTTTAACACATTTAATTATCTCACGATTAGTCACTGCCAGACACCAGGGAAAATGCGTGATCCGAGTCGAGAAAAAAATTCTGTAAATGAGCAGAAATGAGTTAAAATGGAACTTAACAGTGCCACGCTGAATCGCGAATCGTCCACTCGCTCGTGATTAACCGGCGATACCGTCGGACTGCAACCCAATTAAATGGACTTATCTTCACGAAAGTGATAAAAATTGCCACTTTCATTCAAAAATTAGATTTTACGCGAACAGTCTGCAAAACAAGGATAAACTCTTGATAATTGACTTAATCCGTATGTACGTGTTCAGATCTTGACAGATTAGTATTACTGTAACATATTATACCTATGTCATATTATTTGTGTTTGTTTTTTAAATATTTTGAAATAATGTTATGAGTTGGTCCTACAAAGTAACATGTAAAGTACAATTAAAATATTTAAGAGAATTAATAATTTTATAAATATTGCTCATATTTTAGAGGAATGACGACTAAAATATAAACTATATAGATTATATAGGTGTGAGTCTGTTTATTACATTATTTAATCTTTTTTTAAAACGAACCGTACCTTGTTTATCCGAATGCGCTGCTTTAAGCACCGCGACAGCCGCACAATTCTGTTTTAAACATGATTTAATTCGGATTCACCACAGACAACCACAGAAGCCTTGAAAGGCTGGGGCCGTTACTATAAATAGAAAGGAACGAACAATCGCATAAAGTTACATTTGTGGAAAAGCTAGAAATATAAGGTTAGCGGGGAGATGAAAGGTATACCTGTTTTTGGCTGCAGCAGCTCGGTCCCTTTGTCTGCGGTTTTTGAACCAGTTTCCCACTTGTGTGGGTGTAAGTCCCGTAGCCTGCGCAAGCTCCCTCTTTTTGCTAGGGTTTGGATAAGGGTCTTGTAGGTACCACTCTCGAAGCAAATGTCGGGTCCTCTCCTTGAAGCAGTGCGTCTTTTGCTCCCCGTCCCAAATTGTTCTGGGTAGAGGGAACTTCTTCCTCACCCTATATTTGTCCACCGGTCCGAGCGGGCGGCCCCTCAGCTTCTCAGCCTCCTGGTAATGCGCCTCCAGCCAAAGGGCCTGTAATTTGGAGTGGGACTCTTTGGTGAACTTGTGGTTTTCCAGGATGTGGTAGAGCTCTCGGAAATTCCCGGTGTGGAAGGCCACGATGGCCCGCGCTCTGAGCACCGACTCATTCTTGTTGAGGACCTCGCAGGCTGCGGGAGCGACTGGTAGAGACCAGAGAAAGCGGCCGAGACGCTCGATGTCTCCGCTTTCCTCTAAAGTCTCGCAAACCCCCGCTACTTGCTGGGGGCTAAAATTCAAGATGGGTAGCTGAAACATGGAGGCTTCTTCTTTCCCCTCTTCCTCTCTCACTCATACACTCTCTCACTCGCTTACCCCCGTCTCTTCCCTGCGGATCCAGACAAAAAGACAACCTCAAAGTTAGCAGATCAACCGTTAAAAACACCGAGGAACGATGCCCTCTGGCTGACTATGGCCGCCTCGGTGGGTGAACTTGGTGGCTTGAAAGTACGAGAGCATACAACTAGGGCGAGATGTTTTTTGAGGGGGAAAAAAGACATTCAGCCCTCTGCCGATTTTCTATTGGACTTGGCAGATTGGTTGCGTGGTTGCCATGGATGCCTGTCAATCACTGTCAAGTTTTCCAATCACGCGTAAAGGAGTGCGGACAGATCACAGAACCTCCCAGAGCTCGGCTGCGCCTTTTAAAGATGTAAACATTGTGACCTTTGCTTTTTGTCCTAAGATATTTAATTGCCACCCATATTTGTGTACATCTGCTCCTTTGCGCCGCGCTGTTACATACGCGAAACCTTAAATTCCGTTAAAATCCAGCGAACAAAAAATTGCATTTTTTTCCTTATTAGAACGAAATCTTAGCTCACACATCTACTGACACATTTTTTCTTCTCATCTTAAGAAAATCTTTCTTCTACATATCAGAAAACATCACCGAAAGCGCAATGATAGCTGCGTCACGTAAAATATGTCCGATAAGTGTTTGTTAGATGCGACGGTGAAACCCTTCCGTGAAATGAGCCTTGTAATATTCATATTTTTATAACTGACCCATAAAAATAAAATTGGAGATGGATTATAAGTGACAGAAAAATCCGACAGAAGTACGCGAATTGATTGACCCACGAACCTTACACACTTAGCCTACGAGAATCATGCGCGAATCCGACTACTTTCACTGAGATTCAGGCTCCGAAAAAATATACATGTTGTATATATACGGTGCGCACGGCACATCAAATGCTGTAATTCTCTAAGGGGATGCTGAATAATACCCGATGAAACGTAGCTAAATGATAACTCGATTTAACCTCATTCTAATCTCCAAAACGGTTTACGGGAATCATGTATTTTATCGTCACCCCGTTCTTGTTACCCAGCAGTGATTGTAAGTTTAGTAAATGTTTTATTATACGTGAATGCGTTGTGCGCGGTTTTCCTACGGAAACCTTTCTGTTTTAGTATCAGACACACTCCGCTCTGCGCGCTGGTCGCTGTGGTGAATAAGAAGGCAGATAGATAGCGCAGATGTTTTGAACTGTCGGGTCAGATTATTTCATAGCTGCGCATGGTGGAGAAGTTCATTCTGACGGAAAACCCCGATATTACTTTCACAGTTCAATTGAGTCCCCTTCGGGCTCTCTTACATGATTTATGGGATCCAGTGGCTCGGGATATGGAACTTGCTTTTCTGGAAAAGGCTGTTCTTTTTATGTACCGCTTAGTAAAAGGGAATAAAACTTTTCTGCCGAATGCTGCATCGTTCATATGACGTGCGTCAACATCAGATAACGGAATAAAATGGGCGTTAAGATATTGTAATAAAATGTATAATATCCAGTCTAATGTGTCAGCAAAATATACACACACATATATATATACAATAATCGGAAGTGAAAGATTACCAAGATAATATGACTGAACCTGTCCGTCTAGCTTCTGTGAGTCTTATAATCATAATCCCATTTCTACACATTTAAAACACATTTAATGTTCTAAGTATAGCATTCTTTAAAAAGTCGCGTTTGAAAAACAATGAATTCAGTATGTATTATAATTTGAGTGATAGTGTAAATAAGCTAATGGGTGTATAAGCAGACATAGTACGAGGATTAGCGTTTTTCTGTGTCGAATTGTCATTCATAAATCCGCAGTGTTACAGATTTAACACTGACGTTACAGACCCACCAAACAGTAACAGTAACAGAGAGCAAAACAGCTCGGAGAAGCAGAGGTGACTGAAAAACGAAAAAGTATCCAAACGTTATAGGCCTGTCCTAACCAGAAGATAGTACGCATAATATATTACGTGTTTATATATGTATTATTTCATAAAAATGTTGAAAATAAATAATCATCCAAAATAATGTTTTCATCTTTAGCTTAAGATCGATCAAATAATGTGTGGAATTAATTGGTTAAGTTACCATTAAAAAAAAAAATTTTTTTCGATAGGTATCTTGCAGTCTCTGCCGCATACTGTCGAGAACATTCATTCTTTTTATGTTTTTGATATGAGACACGTCGTTTTGAATTAAGGACTGTAGTTTCGCAAGATAATTAAGTTATTTAAATGTTGTCAGTAAAGCAAAAAAAAAAAAATGACGTATAAAAAACTGGAACCGAAAAACGCCAAAGATGCAGAAAAAGAGAGAAAGCAGTTTCAGCGAGCACAGACGCCAAGAAAAAACTAATAAATGTTACATTATATTAAATATAAATAACGCAATTTATGAACGTTACCAAAGATGTCACAAATGTTATTTGTTCACCAAAATAATAAATTGCATGTTATTTGCGTCGAAAGTAACGAAAGGCAAAATTTTGTATTTGCTTCTGCTTGTTTCCTCCATATAACCATGTTTGAGTTTACAGGATACTTGAGCTTCATCGTTGTGACAAAACATGTTTTTATGACTTTTAATACTCTGACATTTTAAGACCATCAAATCATCATCTAAATAATAAAAATTCACCACCATATATTATTTACAATATCTCTCGGCACCGCGCGCTGCATGACTGTGGATATTCACAGTTCTTCGTATGTTATATAGCGTTAGGTTATATGTGATAGTGTTTTCCTGTGCAGATGGTATGGGTGTCCTGTTATTCCGACTATTACTGGGACGCGTACTCATACTGGGACTCACTGTGAATCATCGCACGCGCAAGTACATATATTAAAAACAGCCCAGGCGATTACGCGTCATCTCTCTATCATTCCCCGAGATTCCAGATGCTTCCGCACCGCTGGGTGCGTCTTTCCTCGCACCCAACGACACAGGAGAGAATTTGATATTAGGGGGACAGAACTTAGTCTTAATAATTTAAATACAAAGGTCTGTTTGTTGGGGGATGAATGAATTTATACCACATATTAAGGGGTACACGCCCGCCCGGTTCCTACTACTTGAACTCAAATAATTTAACGACTTAATCACATATTAATCTTGATACTAAGAAAGATAACCCTTATCTGCTAGGCTCGGTGGCTAAACCGGGTTTATACCAGTCATACTCTGCCAGGTTCAACTGAAGGCAAAGCGCTTTAATCTACCGTGTTGTGTGTATGTTTTTTTTTAAAGATCATTTCAGCTGTTTTGGTTTCCACTACTATTAGGCGATCCCCGTGTCACATCGTACAGGTAAACTCCACAGGCACCTGTCGTCCTTGTAATTAGCGCTCATCGGTGATGCCCCTGTTTTTGTATCAGATTTTGATCTCAAGCCTTCCGTGTTTAAGGGCAGGAATATCGGGGACCGATATTGTCTTTGGATTAATGAGTTGCTTGCGAGGTTTAAGAACATAAGAAATTTACAAACGAGAGGAGGCCATTCGGCCCATCAAGCTCGTCTGTGTTTGACCAACGAGATGTCGCTGTTTTAAATATAGCAGTAAAATACCACAAAAGCCCTAAACCCAAAACGGTAGCCCTGGGTGCGGCCCGTACTACAATTGTCTGTCGCGTACCTTCTCCTCACGTGGGTGAAGAGCGTATCCGTTAAGGGAACAGTGTGTCACCCAGGAAAATTACTTCGTCTAGAGGAAAGACCAGTTACTGCTGCATAAGGCAACTGGACCCGAGTTCTTCCAAACTTATTTTCAGGCAAATGTCCGCGTTCATCGAAAAGCTGCATGTGTAGATTGAACTGAAGCAAAGCTCCCGTCTTACTGGCACGCTTGCCCCCTAGATGGCGCAGTTGTTAACAAGCTGATGTTGTATTTGTTCCGTATTTGAGCTGAATAGATTCAACACATACCCTGGTGAACAGCTGTCTGTCCCCCAGAAAGAAATTGTACAGTTATTTAGATGATTGGTTTGTGCTGCTGTTGTTTTTAAATGAATTAGAGACTTGGTCAATGACAGAACATGTGCCACACGGGGGTGAAGCGGGGAATGTCAAGCTCAGCCACTGCCTCTGTTTTAGTGGAGGACAGTGTAGGGTTAAATCCTGCGGGGGGGATTTGAGCAGGCTGTAACTGACCCAGATTCAGCTAGAGCAGCTCTTCTCAGACCTATCACCGTATACACTGGTTACTCCATGCTCCCCAATCCACATCACATGACACGACCCCCCCTCCCCCCATATGCTCCAGCTCTTATCACACCCACAACTCATGCAAACTCACCCTTATAATATGTGGATTTGCATTATACCGACATACCATTCCTTTTGGCCAGTGCTAGTTCAATATGCTGGTACCTCAGCACTGCATCCTACAGAAATGTGATGCTTAACTGCAAAAACACATAGCATTGCTGTTTATTTAGCATGTAGCCATTCCCAGGGCCCTTTGGTTTTAAACTGTTCGGTCCCTACAGGCTAAGCTAGGCAGACACATTGTTGTGTTCAAGATTAATCTGCAGATTTATCGTAACGGAGAAGACTTATCATCAACTGCTGCTTTCAATAAGACCTAGTGGATTATGTCTGATGTTGTGTAGCAGGCAGTGCCTGATCTCGACGACAGCTTCCTGATAGAGACAGACACACGGTCCCATACAGAACGCTTCAAAGAGCTCTGTGGCTCCTGGGCAGAGGCGAAAAGGTTTTCTTCCTTGCGATGTAGCCATTTACAAACCCGCTGTGTTCCCTGTGTGCTTTTGGCGCAGAAGCAGAATAACGGCATAGTACTGTGAGTCTCATGTGATCTGTGTCAATGTAACATGACCTTGTTGTATGACCTACAGCACTTAACTTCCCAGTCACCGAAGTGTGATCCTCACGTGCACGGCAAGTTGAGCCCTAGACATAACCAGAAGCGTATTAGGCTGGACGTGAATGAGCCCTGTGTGTGTGGAGCAGGTTCTGGTGAGGGATACCTAGCGTGTGACCACGCCCAAGCTGGGAGAACCCACGCTGCACAATCATTTACTTGCTTCACAAATCTCATTTAATGAATTCCCAAGGACTAAAGCCAGGAGCTGCATGGTTACTGCCCTTTCTCTAGACTAATACAATATCTGATTTAAGGTATTTGGGTTGAGTCTGTGTCATAATTGACATACACGGGACAACTTAGGATCGCACAATTTTGGAGGAGGGGTGATGATGCTCCCCCTGGGTTCAGCCCAGATATGGGGAAACTAGCCGTT